AAATTAATAATTAAAATTTTAAATAAATATAATATATAAAATTTATATATAAATAAATTCTTATTTATGAGAAAGACTTAGTCAGAGGGATCACCAAGCAATAGTTCAGCCCCAAAAGTTATATGTTTGTAGTTTCACTCGTAACTTTTCAAGAGCTGAAAACAAATTTCATAGAATTCAAAAGTGAATTTAAAAAAGAAAGATCAACTCAACTTCACTCTTTTACAACAAAGAAGAAAATAATAGAACTAATTTTTTTTTGCCTTCAAAAATAGAACTAATTCAATAATGCTTTATCGTGCTGAAATGGTCTCGCTGGCCCAAAAAAAGCTAGAATGGTCTCAAAGCCCATAGAATCTACCATAATTGGTAAATAGATCTAGGCCCGTCACATTATGAGTTATGGGTCAAGCAAACACTTTGGGTCCTATTATTTTCGGCCCGAAGTTTGTTGAATTTACAGAAGCCCATTATTACCTACAAAATACAAAGAAAGAAAATAACATTCAGGCCAGGTTCGTTAACTGCCGATCCGACCTCGTTGGCCAAGAAATTTGGATACAGCATTCTTGATTCTTTTTAGCCCTCGTTCAGTGCCGTGGGCGTCCGATCGCCGTCTGGTGGAAGGGCTGAGCGGCACCGGGCGACGCGTTGGTCACATGGCGGGTCTCTCAGAGTGACGATTCCGTCCCCGCTGGCCTAGAATATTTGGATACAGCATTCTCGACGGTTTTTTTGCCCTCGTATGGTGCCGTGGGCGTCAGATCTGTGCTCCCGAAGCGCCGACTGGTGCTCGAGGGCACAATGTCGCCGTTTAGCATCGGATTATGTCAAGCACAGCTTCTCTATTTCATATCGATCCATTCTTGTGAGGACGGGAATTGTATTTATCTTTTTGGCCCATCAATTATCTTCTTTCTTCGTCTTCCCCTTCAATACAAAAGGAAAAGGAGATAAATATTTTTTATTTTTAAAATTTTTTTTCACCGTCTTATTCTGTTTCAAAATTTTGAATTTAAAACTTTTAAACTTAAATTTCAAACTTTTTTTATAAGTAGTACAAATGAAAATAAAAATAAATATACGAAGGGAGAGTTGTTTACTTAAAGAATATTATATTGGATTTGCTATATGATTTGATTGCACATATATTACGTATCATATACATAATAGAGACTTATAATTTGATCTCATAAGTTTTTTTTAGCTTTAGTTGTATAATTTTTTTAATATAATTCATTTTACAAGTTAAAACATGTTAGTCATTTTATAACTATTGTGGTGGCATCTGCACATTCATGAGTGTGTAAGATGAAAGAGACTCAAGCTTTGGCCACAAAAGCACCATCCTTTTATTTTATTTTTGTATTACAAAAATATGCTAATATTATCTTTCAAATGAAAAAGATTAGAATTATTTATATATTTTTCTCATTTAGATATACTTTATTTTAGTGGTTTTATTGGAAGATGATTTGTTGGGAGAAAGGCAACCCAAAATATTGAGGCTACAGTTGGAGGCATTAATCCTTATCATTTTTTTGGATTTTTTTTATTTTTGAAGTTTATCTATGTTCTTTTGTATTGTGTGTTTCAGCTTTTAGGCCTCTTATATATGGAGACTATTGGTATAAATTTAAAAACAATAAATGATTAATTGTGTTTCGTTTTTTGTTCATTATTTAGCCTCGACAGTATTTTATGAGTCTATAGTTCATATACCTTATGTAATGTGAAAATCTGTTTTATAAAATATTGATGACATGGGAATTTTATGTAAGAGTTGCGTTGTATTGGATACTCAATTAAACAATTTGATTGTGTGTGATTGAAAGTTCTAAACTTTGACTATGAATATGTAAGGATTTTATTTTGGTTATTATTATCTACTCAGCTAAGCTATTCTTCCTATCTTATTCTTTCATTTCTTGCTTTCCTTTTTCTTTTTCTTTTTTTTTTTACTACTTTCTTTTCTTTAACAAAACTAGAAAGATAAAAACCCATGCAATTTGAAAACCTTGCGTAGAATTCTCTATTATCTATCAGAATTTATGAATTTTTATTTTTGGGAAACCTATAGAACTACAACCTATGTTATATTATTGAAAATTTTACAAACTCTAATACTAATGTGTTCATTTAAAATTGGCCGATTCAATGTTGGGCCATTCAAAGTTGGACTCGACACTATTACCTGTAATATGGTGTTGTCCAACTAACTTAATAATTAATGTAGCAACAACAACATACTCCATATATAACTTATTGATCATCTTGGTCACTATTGAACATCTTCTTGAATTGTGCCACCTTCAATGTTATAACCACAAATATCCAGTGTTGGACATCATCCATCCATTGGAAATAAGCATATCTCCAATTTTTCATGAAAAACAAAGTTCCCACGACTCCCCAGAATCCAGTTGCAAAACCTAACATCACGACAATGTAAAACCACATTCTCTTAAGTGCACCTTCACTATTGCCCTTGAAGTTGGCGATTGTTGGGGGCAATGTATCATTTGAGCATTTCTTCAAGAGTGGAACTCCACAAAGTTGAGGATTTCCAACATACATGGTTGGATCTTCGAGTGTTTGGAGTTGATAGCCTGTTGGAATTGGCCCTGACAAGTTGTTGTAAGACAAGTTAAGGTAGCTTAACTTGGTTAAACTTGACATACTGTTTGGGATCATTCCTGAGAGGTCATTCTTGGAGAAATCAAGAGATTCTAAATTCTCCATTTGTCCAATTTTTTCAGGGATATTTCCTGAGAGATAATTCCAAGATAGATTCAAATTGTGCAAATCTTTAAGGAAAATTAGCTCTTTTGGTATGGATCCTATTAGATTGTTACTCGAAAGATCTATACTAATCTCAAGTCTTAGAGTTATTCTCATATACTCAAGGTATCTCCCTTTTACAACCTCCATCAAAGGTTCCAAATCCCAATGCTCAAAATATCTAACAAGCAAAATATTCACTGAAGGGTCTTGATCCCAATATTCATTACCCATGTCATGGCTCAATTGTGTTGCATTCACCATAATCGGAAACTTTCCAAAACAAGGAGGAATCCTTCCTATCAGATTATTCTCAGCAAGATCTAAAATTTGCAATTGAGAGAGAAAGCATAGTTCCAAAGGAATATAACCAGAAATTAAATTTTTTCGCAGTCGGAGAACCTTTAAAGAGTGGTTGTTGATCTCGCCTCCTATAATACTTGTTAAATTTCCAGAAAATTTATTTTCACCCAAATCCAAAACCACTAAAGAAGTAAAGTTTTTCAAGGTTACATGTAGTTCCTTATGGAGACTATTGTTGTTCAAGTGCAATTCACTTAAAGAAGAAAGCCACACCATTGTGCTTGGAAATAAACCTGAAAGATTGTTGGAAGATAGATCAATCAACTTGAATGATTGATCGTTTCTCCAACAATTAGGAATATTTCCAGATAACATATTGTTTGAGAGATCAAGAAATATCAAATATTTTGAATTGCATAGTGACTTTGGAATGTTTCCAGATAACATATTGTTTGAGAGATCAAGTGCTGTCAATGTTTGTACATTGCATAGTGACTTCGGAATTGAACCATTCATGAAGTTATTTGCAAGATATAATCCCCACAACATTGGCATCATATGACTTATATTTTCTGGAAGAGGACCTGAGATGCTAGCATTAGAGAGATCAACTAAGCTTATTGTCTCTTTTAATTGATGCCATGTAGGAAATCTTATTCCAAATTGATTGCTAGAAAGATCTATACTCTCTAACTTAGAGAGTTGCCATATGCTATTTGGAATACTCCCATTCAATTGATTGTGAGAAAGATATATGCTCTTTAACTTAGAAAGCTGCCCAATGCTATTTGGAATACTCCCACTCAATTGATTGTGAGAAAGATATATTCTCTCTAACTTAGAAAGCTGCCCGATACTATTTGGAATATTCCCACTCAATTGATTGTGAGAAAGATATATGCTCTCTAACTTAGAAAGCTGCCTGATGCTATTTGGAATACTCCCATTCAATTGATTGTGAGAAAGATATAGGCTCTCTAACTTAGAAAGCTGCCCGATGCTATTTGGAATATTTCCACTCAATTGATTGTGAGAAAGATATAAGCTCTTTAACTTAGAAAATTGCCCAATGCTACCTGGAATACTCCCACTCAATTGATTACTAGATAGATCTATATTCTCTAACTTAGAAAGTTGATTGATGCTATCTAGAATACTCCCATTCAATTGATTGCTAGAAAGATCTATACTCTCTAACTTAGAAAGTAGCCCGATGCTATCTGTAATACTCCCACTCAATTGATTGTGATAAAGATATATGCCCTCTAACTTAGAAAGTAGCCCGATGCTATCTGGAATACTTCCACTCAATTGATTCTCAGAAAGATCTATGCTCTTTAACTTAGAAAGTAGCCCGATGCTATCTGGAATACTCCCACTCAATTGATTCTCAGAAAGATCTATGCTCTCTAACTTAGAGAGTTGCCTGATGTTATCTGGAATACTCCCACTCAATTGATTGATAGAAAGATCTATGCTTTCTAACTTAGAGAGTTGCTTGATGCTATCTGGAATACTCCCACTCAATTGATTATCAAAAAGATTTATGCTCTCTAACTTAGAGAGTTGCCAGATGCTATTTGGAATACTCCCACTCAATTGATTGATAGAAAGATCTATGCTCTCTAACTTAGAGAGTTGCCCGATACTATCTGGAATACTCCCACTCAATTGATTCTCAAAAAGATATATACTTTCTAACTTAGACATTTGCCCCATGCTATTTGGAATGCTCCCATTCAATTGATTGTTAGAAAGATAAAGAAATATCAAGGAACTCATGTTTTGGAGAAATACAGGTATTGGACCTTGGAAAAAGTTATTTGAAAGATCTAAGTGTTGAATATTGCCAAGCAACGTAAAATTAAAAGGATGGTTGGGAGATGGCAAGTGACAATTTTTGAGACTACAGCTTGACAGACTTAACCATGATAGTGAAGGAAGCATACCAAGTACTTGAAACAAGTTTGATGATGTAAGGCTTAGATTTACTCCACTCATATCAAGAAATGTCAATGAAGTCATGTTTTGGAGAAAAGTAGGTATGGGACCATGAAAAGAGTTTTCTGAAATATCAAAGTGTTGAATATTTCCAAGCCATGTAAAATTAAGAAGATGGTTGTGAGATGGTAGGTGAGAATTTTTTATACTACAGTCTGACAGACTCAACCATGATAATGAAGAAAGCATGCCAAGTACCTGAAACAAGTTTGATGATGCATGGCTTAGAGTTACTCCACTCATATCAAGTCGTTGCAAAGAGGAGAGATGAGAAATCCACTGAATGTCATCATTAACCTTCAATCTCCCATAATAATACTGAGAAAGATCAAGAACACGAAGCCTTGTAAGATTTCCAAGTTCACTAGGAATTCTTCCGCTGAATTGCACATTAGAGAGATTTAGGTACCTCAGCTGCTTCATCAAGCCAAAGGAGGGTGGAATAAGATTACCACTGAAATTATTGTTGCTCAAGTCCAGGTGTTCCAAGTAGCTTAGCTTGAGCAAACTTGAAACAACCTGCTCTATATCGTCCATCAAGCACAATTGAGGTTGTTTATACCAATCAAGTTGATAAGATATTGATCCCCTGAGTTGAAGAGAGGTAACATATCCACTATTTTTGTCACAATCTACACCTCTCCATTCACAGCAGTCATTTCCTTTCCAAGAAGACAACATATGTGATGGATCATGGAAACAAAGTTTGAACTTTAAAAGGGCTTCTCTCTCCTTTTCTATACAGCTAAAGCTTGTGTTTCGACCGGAACAAAACTCTGCAGCTTCAAAGAACAATACAGCAACTAGAACAAGCATAGCACAGAAAGTTTCCCTCATAATGATGGTTTCAATATTGTATGGAAGATGAGATGTGATATTTAATTTTGCTTGTAGATTAATATATAGTCCCATGGATAGGCAAATAAAACGCGTTTCGCCAAGACTTGGATGTCTTTTTGGTCCTTGTTGCTTTAAAGTCAATTTAATTGGTGCTTTCATTGTCCTTTTGCCCCACCATAATAATAATACGGCTTTTACAAGTCTTGTGCTACTGTTGTGCAACGTGAAGACTGGGAAAGTTTGAAAAATGGCTTTCAATTCTTGGAGATAACTATGGTTTGTGAAAATTTCTTCTCTTTTTACCAATCATGGAAATTTTTGGTCATTATGATTATGGTCTAAATATTGTGTGGAAGATTAGATATTTAGATGATTTTAATTTTTTTTCTTTGAGAATGGATGATTTTATTTTAATTTCTTTTGATGAACGGATAATTTTTAATTTTGGTTGCACATTAATATTATAAT